TATTTATTTCTTTGTTATTCTTGTTGGCTTTTTGAGACAGGGTCTTGTAGCCCAGACTGGCTTCAAGCTTGCAGTCCCTCGACCTTAGGCCTCCTGAGTGCCAGGGTTACAGGCGCACACCCTCATACCCCACAAGCACTCTTTCCAGGCAGGATTTCTCCACTCTGTGGCCAAGGGGTGGGGGGCAACAGTCTTTTTCTAGGACTCCAGATGTTGTCTCCTCCCACTGGGCCCTCTCACCCCCTTTCCTTGCCCCACACTAAGAACAAGTGAAGGGCAGGAATGGCTGGGATCTGGAGCAGGTGCCAGGCCTGTCCTCTTGTGAACACAGATGCCACCTACAGCCCCTGACTCATCAGTCATTTGTCAGGAAATGGCTTCTGCCAAGCTGGCTCCCTGAAGGGCTGCCCCACCGCACCCCACCCCACCCTAAAGCACATTTGGAAACCGGACCCAAAGGTGAAGTCGAGTAACTTTCTCTGCAAGGCAGGGTGCAGCAGGCCTGAGCCCCAGGCTGGACTGAAGCCCAGGATGGGAAGGGGTTTGCCCAAGGCCTTCAGCCGGAGCTCAGGTTCTTAGGAAGAAGCAGGGCCCCTTCTGCCCCTCTCCCTCCCGGTTGGCCCTGAGCCCCAGCTCTGCACTCCCTACAAACCTGTCAGACCTGAAATAGATGGGAGAAAAAAAAACAAACACCTCCAGTAAACAGCAGGGAGTGTGAATGAATCAGGATTTTGTTTTTAAGGAGGATCATGTGTCCACCTCTGTTTACCCAGTTGGCATGGCCCGTTGTATGGAAGGGACCCTGGCACCCAGCCCAGACCTCCCCTCTCTTAACTGTTTGGTGGTGGAAGGAGCTCCATCTCAAGATCTGTCCCATCTGTCACCTGGCCCCCAGCTCTAAACTCCCTTCTTGCTCCTTGTGCCTGAGCTGTCAGATCCCCAAAGCTCCACCCCCAAGCCCAAGGCCCTGTGACTCCTGACCTACACAAGTACCAGCCTCACTGGACAGGTGGATGTGTTGTTTTAACACAAATAGCTGTACCTTTCCCTGCTTGGAACCTTCTGTGGCTCCCACTGTTCTTGAGATAAAGGGAGATTCCTAACTGTGACACTGGGGAACCTGCCAATATGTCCTTTGTCTTCCCCGCCCACTTTTGTCTTTTTGAGACAGGGTCTCCCTATGCAGTCCAGGCTGGCCTTGAGCTCACTTTGTAGCTTAGGCTGGTTTCGAACTCACAACGATCCTCCTGCCGCAGCCTCCTGAGAGCTAGGATTACAGGTGTGTGTCACTACACTCAGCCCTCTCCTGCCACTCGACTTTTGCATCCTCGAACTTGCACAATCTATCCTTGCTCAAGGTTTACAAAACTATGGATCCCCTTTCCCCTCATCCTGCCCTTCCCAGGGTCCTCATTCATCCTTTGCATCTAAAGTCACCCTTTTCAAAGTCGTTCCTTTTTTTTTTTTTTTCTTGGCGGAACCGGGGATTGAACTCAGGCCCTTGTGCTTGCCAGGCAAGCACTTATTCCACTGAGCCATCTCCCTGACCCCCCAAAATCTTTCCTAAACTGCAGATTAGGTATGCCCACAATTACTGCTCCCCTAGCTCTCCTCCTTCATTGAAATCTGCATGCTTCAAAGCCTTTATTTGGTGTATGATTATCTG